TGACGGGGTCTACCAGCGAAAATGAATGAAATGAAATCGAATGGTAGAGATCAGGACGCGTTGGTTTCCGCGGACTCTACGATATGGGTCGAATTCTGCCTGGATTCTTGTTGTAGTTACCGGTGAAATGGTATAGACTTGGTCCTCAGTCCCAGTAACCAATTTTTGAACTAATAAGTACGCTCCATAGGATGCAGGGCTTAGTGCGCCCCCTAACTCTCCCGCCCTCTTTCAGAAATGTTCATTTTTCGTTCACTTTCCTGCCTATGTTAAGCCATTTCAGTTTTATCCCGACCTAGAGTTTCCCTTTTCTCTGTAGTAGACAGCTTTTTTGATCTTCCGTTATCAGGATCTGGCGCAAATGCTGGAAGTTTTCTCCTCAAAGGCCTCGGCCAGTAATCAGACATTCTGGTTTGGCCATTACCCAACCTCTACCATTATTTCGCCGGGCTTCGACCTGCGCGGTCTCATGAGGTAACATGCTGCACAACCGTTTCCTTCCTTACTAGGAGGTTCAGCAGATTTGCTTAATTTGAGTTTACCCAATTGTGAAAAAACTCGAGGCGTTCAGCGGGATTTGAACCCGCATAGTAGAGAAGGTCTTTACGCGAAGCCAACGCTCTAATCAATTGAGCTACACACGCCCCACCTCGCGCCATGAATTTAATCACACTTGGGTCGATTTTAACCGCCGAACTTTATCGCTTGTATGGAATCCACCAATGTGGAACAGCAAGCTGACTGCCCGAGCAGGATTTCCTAAGCAATCATCTAGTATCAACTAGAATGACTACTAGGCTGAGTTAATTATTAGGTTTGGCAGATTTGCTTAATTTAAGTTGACCCAATTGTGAAAAGAACTCAAGGCGTTTAGCGTTCCTTTCTGCAGGCTTTTTTGCCGCACCATCGCTCTTTCCCGTGCTCTAGTTGCCCGGTATTGCATACCCACCATTTACGTTACCATGACAGTTCGACCATTCGCCGCATACTTCACTAGAGGCTGGGACCAAGCGCGGTGCATTGCTAGTGAATTAGATTATAATGAGATTAGACATGTGCCGCATCTACCAAACTTGAATCTCGAGTCATGAGCAAGTTAAGAAGACTGGAGGTGGGGCAGGGCGCAGGTGGTTGGCGCAGCCGGAGCCGCCACACTCGGCTCGGATCCCATGGAGCAGCAATTTCGTAGAGGCCACACTAGAGAGGAGCCGTTACAGCCTGGCTCAGCCTTTCAGTCAGTCAGCCACTCCACACAAGCTCCCTGGACTATGTGGTGCGAGTCTTTCCATCAACTGGCAACCTTTCAATTCATGTTTCTTAGCACTTCTTGGTAGTTTAAAACTTGTCAGGAAAGTGTGCTGAGCTGTCGATCGCACTCTCCCCATTACCGAACCCGAGCTACCGTTTGAACCGGCCAGTAGA